GTAAGACTGAGTTTAAAAAATCTTTATCTGTGTAATCACTGCAGATTAACACCCCTGACTGCTTTGGCTGCTGGTTTGTTTGGGTGATCTCCTGAGCTCAGCTGATAAATCTATCACAGTGTTGTACAAAGTTTCAACTAATCTCCGCCGCTCTTCTTCTGCCTGAAAACAACCTCTGTGCCGTCAAAGTCAAATATGACCTCATCACTTTTGATCAGCTGATACTGTTGACGAGTATGTTTGAATTTATTTATTTAATAGGGACAATGCAATTTAACATACTTTCAATACAAAGCATGAAACTGATGTGCTGCATAAAGAGTATGTAGCTATTGCTAATTTCCAACTCGTGTCCCCAGTTGGGCCTTTGTGTAAACAAACAGATTAAAATGTACAACATTCAGTTACATAAAACCCCATAACACGATATGAGGATACATTAAAATACATGTACAACAATACAAATGCTATAAACCAGTTTAAAATAAAGTTTAAAGATACTATTTAAAAGTGGGTACAGCTCTGGCTTGTTTTGAGCATTTCACCTGTTTTGTAAAAGATTTTAAGTCTGAGATTAATTTTATTTCAAGTAGAACCATTAGAGAACAGGTAAGCAGCGTGCGATTTATATTCTGGATTTTACGGTACTTACATTACCTCAAATATTTCCAACAGTTATCAAAGCCAGAGAAATCCTTCATTTTATAGTTGTAATAGGACGTGTCTTGTCATAGTGGCCGCCATGACAGACACGCAATATTTATCGTTGCCGAGGAAACAGGAAGTGGGAGCTGCTACTGAAAGCTGCCGTACTGTTGCTGTTTACGCTGCTCTGATAAAAACTTTGATTGTTTCGTTCATTCGTCTCTCGTAATATTTGTTCACCGTTTTTGTCTTCTGCTCGACCTGCTTCAACACCGCTGCTTTGACACCGGATGCTACTATTGCCACCGCAAAATCTTCGCTCAGATCCGCCATACGCCTCTCTTCTTAAACTACTGATGTCGAACCAGTGAAGGCAAACGCATATAGATCCCTTTGCTTTTTCAAAAAAAGAGTATCTTTCTATCTATCTATCTTTATTTCTTTGTCTCATTGATTTAAATGATCCCAATTACTATCGGTTTTTCAATTGTTAAATACTCTGTAAATCTCTTCTTGTATTTTTCAACTTCAGCATATGTGTGTGTGTGTGTGCCTCGCTCAGACGTATGTGCCTCCCTCAGACTTGTCTCCACATTCTCGCCCTGTGCAGGTGTGGCGGTTGTAGGCAAGAATCTAAAAAAAACCTCAGACAGTGTGTTTTTGTGTACCTCTGTGAACCCACAGGTTGGTTTCCAGATGTGACGTCTGTGAGTCACCGTGTCTGATGAAACCCCCTCTGCACTATCGTCATACCTGAGTGCTACCAGACATGTCAGCCTTTATGTCTGTCTGTGAGGGTTTTTTCATGTGAGAAATGTTGTGTTTAAAGTCAAATATCACCTTCCCTGCTTGCTTTTACAGCCCCTCTCCCAGATCGTCACCTGTAAATCTTCTCCCAGACTAACTTAAGATCTCAGGCTTTAAAGAACAAACAAGCTGGTGTTCAGACGGCGACGAGACGACACCTCAGGGCCAGTTTTCTTTTTTTTTTAAAGCATGTTTCTCTCCCACTGTCTGATTTCATAATCTTAACGACTTTGAGACCTTGAGCTGTAATCTTGAAGACAAACTCACCCAAACCTGGCACAGTCTGGTCCCTTATGCTGCATAATTTATGCCTTATGTTGGCCAAGAGGAGTCATGAAGGGACAGACTGAAAATGCAACATGGACTTACAACATAATCATACGTTAGTTTGACCCACATTTACTAAACTGGTCTCTAAAATGGCCCGACTGACCTCATGTAATGTTTTTTTTATTTTTACGGCTTACAGATTGACAAAGAAATGAATTTTGTGGATATCTAAAAATTCCTAAAGAGCATCTACATTAAATTATACATCTAAATTTAAGTTTCTGGAGTATTTTGGATTTTCTAAAAAATGTTTTGGATATGCTATTATGGTGAATAAACTTATAGGCCTACAAAAGCCTTAATCTAAGCCATTTGTTCTTAACTGGACTAGCCCCAGGACCAAGCGGCAACCTCCGATCTTAAAAATTGAAGCCGGGGAAGTGCAAAATCCTGCGGTCCGTCGAGTGTCCGCTTGAGACTGGCTCCAGGAACACCGGAAGTCACATACACATCGCAGCCAAAAAATCTGTTTTTACAGCATAAATGAACATGTTTTCAGCCTGGTACAAAAAATGACATAAGTCTGAGTAGTTATTGTCAATACGGGCACACACTGAATGGTGGATTAATTTTTTTTAAACAGCTCCGTTTTGATTTTGAAAGCGATACATGTTATCCATAGTTATGTGCTTAGCTGACACGACTGACAGGTGGGCGCGATGTAACGGTTTGTCAATAGGCTTAAAACCCGCCTCAGCTTCAGCTCTCAGCCTGTCGTTAGGCTGACTGAAAGTTAGGCTGAGACAGGATTTCCTGCATGGCGGCTGCTGCCGATGAGCCTCTGGAGCCCCCTGCAGTAACAGATGGCTGACAAAAAAACTAAAGTTCCTCAAAGGAGCTTTTACCTGGTGCCGTATGTTTTGTTGCAATAGATCATCACAATTACAGGGGTAATCCCACCACCAAAGACAACCATGGTTGTATCAGACTCAGGGAAAATCATTGTGGGCCATGTGCAACGATTAAGGCAGACTCACACAACTTTGCTTTTGTTTGTGGTAATTACAGCGTGTGTGGAAAAGAGCCCGAGGCGAGGTGTGAAGCGGCTGAGGTATTGTTGTTCATCAGCAGAAAAAAGACAGAAGTAGTGGATGGTGTTTTCTGTGTAGGAGGAGGAGGGGAGGGGACATGGCTGTGCTGCACTGAGAGCCAAAAGTGAGCCAAATGGCAGAGGTCAGTGGATCAGAGGGACAGGGTGACGTACACAGCTGTTTGAAAAGACTACAAATAATAAAAGAGTTTGGGGACAGCCTGTGAACATGTGTAAATAAAGGGTGTGATTTACCGACCACTTTCATTCTCATCAACAAGTGTTGAAAAGGTACAAGAGGTACACGTCATCAGGATTGTTCTCTACTGAAGGAACTTTAATTTGAGCTGACACTGACTGAAATAATGAATCATAATGAATGTTAAATGTTTGATAAAATGCTTTTTAAAATTCAACTCAGAGGGCTCTAATTCTGCTTATAAACCAACCTTCTAAAAAAGCAGATGATTATTTCAAATCCCCTTGAACCACATTTTAAATTTGACCCTTAAGACATGACAGTCCTCTCATCCATCCACTTTTATCTCTGTACTCCTCGACCACATTTTTCCCCTGCGAAAACTGGCTGCCATTACAGTTCACTATCTGATGCTTTTCATGCTCTACAAACTCCATTTCCACTGAGTGTTTCTGTCATAAAAGTGCAATATGTAACCCAGCACTGCACACAAGCGTCACACAGTCTGCAGCAAGCATCGGCCTTCACCAGAAAACAAAAGCCATCAAATAAATCTGCTTTTGTGGAGTCAATTTACCTCCCTCTGAGTTCCTTAAGATAATCTCTGACACTGAAAATGAATGAGTTACTTAAGTACATCCCTAGAAGGGTGAACATTTCTCTGATGTTTAACAGGGAAAATCTGTTCTGACTCAAAATGCAGCTGACAACTGTGGACGTCCGGACAAAACCTCTGCAGCACACTGAGACTCACAGGGTCCAGGATGGCAGCCTGAAATCTGACTGACACTGGAAAAACATGGAAATAATGGAGGCTGATCAGCTAGAAATAGCATGAACCTGAGCTTTGGGTGCGTTTGCTCACGTAATGTCCCACTTTTATAAGGGTGTGTTGTCAAATTAAAATGGAAATGTCAACAAAGGCTCGTACATTGAAAGGAAACGGTATTGTACATGAGGAAACGTGGCGCAGTGAGAGAGGAAATGAGCGTGGATGAGGGGAAAAACAGGAAATAAAAGAGGAGAAGGGAACGAGAGATTACAGAGAAGTTTTAAGTATCATTGGCAGAGGATATAACCAGATTTTCTGCTCTGATATTAGTGATGGCTTTGGTGTGTTTATCACAGAGCATGGAGACGAAACTGCATGGGAGAGGGACCAGGACAACTGTTTTAGTCAAAAGGTAAAGGGTGCCCCCTGCTGGTTGGCCACAGACAAAATTTAGATGAATAATTTTTGACTCAGACTACAAATGGTTACAGGTGTTATGAAGAGAAATGGGTGAGTGAGTGAGAGTTGTCAGTTGAGGCCCCATTAGGCAGGTTTCCTACTGTTCATTCCATTGTTGCAGTTTTAAGTTTGTCAGGCTTCAGGGGCCCAAAACCGTTCTGCCTCTGAATGCATCCCTGCCAAGAATTGCATGCATCTCGCAGAAGTGTTAGAAAACGGTACAAATCTTATTTCTCGGGGCAGACTGTGATGGAAAAGTATGTGAATTGTATACTTGATAAAGTTAAGTGTCCTTACCAGTCTGTAGACCCAAAAGAAGACAAATTTTTGTTTGCCTGCGTAGCCTAAATATGACCTGTAAACACTGTTTGACTCAGAAGTGTCTGCAGAGTAAATTTAAGGGTGTATGCAAAATACGGCAGCATAGTATTTTAATGGTAAATGCAAAATTCAGCAGTGTAGAAATTTTCAAAATATCCACATCTTGCGTTGTCCTGTGAGGTGCATGCTATTTCTCTTCAGGCGTGTATTTCTCGGCATAACACCTGAACCCTTTCTTTACCTTCTGCATTCATACAGACAGAACATAAGATAAGATAATACTTCATTGATCCCCAGTGGGAAAATTGTCACGTCTATGGAGATCAATTTCCTCCCCAAATGTCCTCTGCTAAATAATGTATATAATCTGGGTTTGGAAAAGTGTAAGATAACATTTGATTTAAATCCTGTTTAAGAAAGACAAAATTCTTAGTAAATTCTTTATCTGAACTTTTAGAGCAGCATTCTTTATTATATCATTCCAGAAAACAAAACATCAGAATAAACATACAAGACAAAACCAAAATATGAGATGAAACAATATTCAAAGTCTTATGTCTTGCTATTAGGAATGATTAAAAACCTCACACTTTGCACATTTCCCCCTCAGTCACAATCAGAAAATTCAAGTCAGTTAAAACATCATGTCTGTACACCTGACATTATCTCACCACACACACATTCATATTTTACATATTGCATATAACTGTGCAGCACATTCTCCTCCCCTCCTGATGACTGCGGAGGGGGAATTTTTTTTATAACTGCAAACATTATGTAATAGTCATGTCTCCCTGCCAAATCTCCAAATTCAAATCCGCTGCCCTCTAAACAGGTTAAATGAGATAATCTGTAACCAATCCAGCTATCGCTGCCACTCATCTCTTAATCCAGGTTTATAAAATAGAGATTACATCAAGTTTGCTGGCAGGTGTGAAGGCCCCTTTATGTGGTTTCAAAAGCACTTTGGGATTTAAGATATCATAAAAAGCAGATTTATTGTGTATTTATTTCTATTGTACTGATCTCAGGTTAATCTTGTGGATATTGTATGCCTACATTATCCACTCAAAATATTAATTAGTTTCATGAACTATCTCTTTCAGAAGTCCCACTTTGTGAACCAAACCCTTTGTTTCTGGCCAACACCATTACTGCCCTATTATTAAACATGTTTCTGAGTATTTTAAGGTATGTGTTTCTAGGTGTAAATGTAATAAATGAAAAAAGCATTCATGATATTATCCATCCTTCATTACAAAAATGAGTTTATACTGCATTTGTGTCAAGAGAAAACAGGGTTTGAAAGTGGAAAGGAAACGTTCAAACTTTGGTTTATCGTTTCATAATTTATCAATATGACGTGTTGAAAGACAATCATGGGGGAAGTTTAAAATAATAGTTGTGTGGTTATTAAAGGGGGCTTATTTGCTGTACTGTGAAGTGACAGGACTTTACTTTCCTGTGTACAATAAATTATTTTCATAAACTTCCTCCATGTTCCTACTTCAACACTTTCATCATGTGTATTAGATTTCTTCTTCACAAACATTTAGTTGCTCTTGGTCTTCAGATCTGCGAGCTTGCTGGTGACAAAGTTCCACTTAAAGGATGCATCGGTGTTTCCTCCTCCCAGTGAGACATATTTGGAAAAGCTGTTGTTGCTGCTGCTCCTTCCTCCTCCTCCTCCTTCGCTCTCCTCTCCCTCAGCGGTCTGCCCATCCTGAGAAGCTGTCACCTCCTCCCCTGTGCCTTCTGTCACCCCCTCCTCACCTTGCACTGCTGCCACCTCGTTGGTTGCAGCGGCAGCAGCGGCTGCAGCTTCCGCCTGCTTTTTGGCAGCCCAGTTAGCGGCAAAGCTATCCCAGAATGCTGAGCGCCTGGTGGGTCGAGGAGGCTCCTCTGGCTTTATTGCAAGTGGACTGGGAATTGAGAGAAAGTGGTGGAATGTATTTCAGTAGTAAAACATGAGTTTGCTTTTCAATTAACCTTTTTTAACTGACTGTTTATTGAGTTTAGATCATATTCTAGTTCTTTACTCCATATATCTTTACTATAATTAAATGATAATGCAACAGACAACACTTTGACGACAGAAAAAAAGCAAAAGTGGGAAGAAACACCCTTGAGGAAGGTCCAGAGGGGAGAACTGTTGTCAATAAATTCAGGTCTGAACAGGTTATCAGTATGCAAGATTTATGACTACCTTTACAGTATGGATATAAAAGTTACATATAATGTAGTGATTAGGTAGCATAAGGGGTTTTCTCGGTCAGAGCCAGCCATTCTTTTCCCCCGTTCCCAGCCTAAGCTAAGCAGCGGCTGGTGTTAGCATAGAAAGTTGCAATCATATTTTGCAGCATGAGAGAAGTAGCATTCATTTACAAAATCTCAAACCTGTGCTTCAAATAAAATTATTTAGGATACATGCTATTGAGGCTATTCTTAAAAAAATCCCCAGAGTACCTTAAGCTTAGACTTTTAATAACGTCTTAGCCCAGATTCGCTTTGGAATAAACCTCTCATTATTTATTAAGTTATAAAATCACAGCAAAAGCATAATAAAATTGTAATCCCAGATCATTTCACAAATGTTACGATAAAAATAATACCCCATAGTTCTACAATCTAACCCTGATTATCCTAAATAAACCCCACAAGTGCCTAGACATCCAAGAGAGGTTGGAAGCAACAAGAGGAGACAGATCTCTACTCACTGGTCTGCGACCGGCGGGCTCTCCGTCTCCTCTAGAAGCTGGTGTTCATCTTCTTTGTTGAAGAGAGATGATAGTCTGTTCCAGCTTTTAGTCCCGGCCCCCTGCATCTGCACACAACACCAAACATGCACAGAGAATCAACAGAGGGTACAAAGAAGCGGTTTCAGAGGATACTTAAACATGCAGAAATGATTATGTCTAACCCAGGCTGTTGACAGTCAAAACTCCACAACTAAATGTGTCCTCAAGTTTACTACACTCATGGAATATATAGATGTTCCAGAAATTCCTTGTTCACATACTTTCCTGGCCAACTGGGACACAGCGTTTGGTCCCTCATCCTCCTGCACTGGACTTACATCATTCTCCACCTCTGTAACCTGTCAAACCATAAAACAGACATTTCAATTAATGCACCTTACCTGCCTAAACAGCACACTTTTATATGTATCATCCTTTCTGATGTCAATCTTGATGCACAGGTTTCGTGAACACAAGGTCGCCATCTAGTGCTTATTGTGGATACTACAACCTGCAGAAAAACTAAAAGCAAACATCTCTAAATGGTAATAATCGTTGAGAACAAACCATAGAATTTACAAGCCAAAGGTACGAAATAAATAAATATATATGTTGTTTCTTAGGAAGGTATGTATTTATCTGTGCAAGTATGGGCATGCCTTCTTCATACTAATCATCTCATATTTCAATACTATGTGTGAAGCAGGGGAGACATAAAAATAGCAGTGCATGACATCTCTGCACATCCTTGTAAATTGAAATGATCTCTCCAAACAACCACGGTAATCCCTGCTAGTCCCTGTAGATGCTCTGACTGGCAAAGCGAGAGACAACGGGCCCTGGTTATCTGTCTGTCTGTGTCGTCCACCATGTCAATCAGTCAGTGGAATGCCAACTAATCCGTTTGTTCAGCTCCCGTGCAGGATCGAGTTTCTCGGCTCTGCAGAGATCTGGGTCAAAGCAACACTCTGTCTGTTTCGTGGGTACCAAACCAAGCAGTCCATGAAAAGCAGGTGTGGAAGAGTTAGGGGAAATACAGTCATTTCATTTGTCTAAAGACTGTAACTGATATTATGAGTAGCGATCATTATAAACATGCAGTGGTTGTAGTTGATGCCTCTTTTAGTAACATTTTTTCTTAATTAAGTCAGGATTGGGCCACTTTGAAAAGCTTGCAAGATAAATCTGTACGGGTAGATGACATGGTGAGGAGAGAAGCCAGAAGTTTTCATATAAATAATTTGATATTTAACTACTTTTCTAATACTTGTTAGGACCCCTGTCAGTCACATGCCTTCAGGATTGTCCCAACTTTCCCTCCCCATAAGGCTCCCCTGTAAACGGACTCCAGGTACATCAATTAAAGTAATCATTCAATGTACCTTTCTGAAATGTTATATCTTTGGTGAGATGTTTGATATTTGTACCTATTTGGGCGGCAAATGAAACCATCAAAGCAGATACCAATGGGATATATCAGTTTGTGATCACTATAAATAAAATCATCATAAAATAATGGCAGAGAAATAATAAGCAGGAAGTTCTAAAAAGCAGGTCTGTCCTCTCTGAAATGTGGAGCAGAAGTTTACGGTACCATAAGACTCCAAGGAAAGTAGCCTTAAGATTTTAATGTATTTATGTTAATGCAGTAACTTTCCACCACTGAAGAAAGCATGAAACATGCCTTGTAATGTTGTCTTCTCTAACAAGCTGTTTCATTGGTGCAATGATTCATCTTTCTTCCAGTGACAATATCAACATCAGTGGATTATTCTATTTTCAAGTCCACATGAGGAAGTAAGTAGGAGGCCTAACTTCTGCCTCCAAATTCCCCTTGCATGGAAAATACAGTAGCTTAGCGATCTCATCTGACCCTGTGATGAATAAAAAATGATGAGTAAACAAAGCCTGGTGACTCTCTGACTACAGTGTTAAAACTATACTTACATCCACTTTCTGACAGTCAAATATGGAACAGTGAGAGGAAACAAAAAAAAGAGAAATTGGGTTCATTACCTCTTCTGCAGCTTCATCCTCATACTCCGGGTTGAGGGTCTTCATCACTTTGCTCTTATACACTTTCAACATTGAATTCATACTTGCAGGCGTCGTGTCTCAGCAGTCAGGGTGAGATGCCTCTGTGGTCCCCACTCCTCAAAGTGTCCTCTTTCCAGCTTCAGCTCAACTCAGTTTGGCCGACTTGGACCTGTTCCCATTCGTAAAGTTCTCAGTAGCTCAGCAGTGAAGGGAATCTTTTTGACATAACGTTCCTCCTGGTCAGATTGATCTCTCGTCTCATCAAAGCAGCAAGGAGTTGACAGCTGCTTTCGTCCCTGCAGAGTGTCTGAACAGGTAAAGCGAGGAAGCTGCGCTGTTTGTGCACGCGCTAGCACAGGTGTACTCGCACACAGACGCACACACACATAGACACACATGCTGAATTCAACGTCACGGTTCAGAATCCCTGCCTTGGTTACCTGGAAACAGGTGTAGATTTCCTCATGTATATTTCAGAGGTTCTCTTGCCCAGAGCCAGAGGTCCATTGTCAGCGGTGTTGGCAGACTGGCTCCTGTAAACCTGATGCACAAAATACTACACACACAAATGTACACAGACATACTTGTGTTTTGATGAAGAACTCACTTGTACAAATGTTATGCTGCAGAGATGTGACTTGAGCATGTTTATGTTTTCTTACAAATGAAGATAAGACTTCATGCTTCCATCAAATGTGGGTCTTAACTCTTTCTTATTTATCTGTGAAGAAAGAAAATTGCCAGATTCAGGTGCACTGCACATTTTTTTTTTTTTTTTTTTAAACTGGGTTACCTGGCAACGTGAAAGGGCCGGCAAGTGTCGTGTGGATAAAGAGAGAAGTATAAAGCTTTGATGACTGATTAGGTTTCAACAGCTACACACAACAATACACCTGAATACACAACCAACAGGGCTGTAGGTTTAACACATACATCTACGTTAACTTGACATCTCACTTGTTATTTTCATTGCTGCAATTGTTAAAGTGCTGCAACAAATTTATATTGGCTTTAACAGAGGTAATACAACAGTAGTGTGCTTGCTCCACATATGTGACGCTATCTGACAATAATCTTGATTCTACATACCTAGCTTATCCTAGCTTGATCACTATGCAGAGTTGGTCAGTAATGAAGCTGTAAGGCCAGCTGACCCATAAGATCAACATGAATTATGAACAAGCTTGTATGGACGACTCATGTTTGCACATGGACAGAGGGATGTGGGTTATTTGAAGAGCAGCCAGTTCTGTGTTGTGGCTGCAGCAGCTCATGTTTCAGACTGGAAAAAATACAAATTAACAGTAACTGAGAGACAATGGCTGTGTTTACGATCAAATTGGAAGAAAATGAGATGTTGCTTCATTTTTTCGTTGCATTTCTCATTTGCTTCTCTCTCATTGTAGAACGAATCTGTCATTAACAGCTAAATGAGCGACAGGAAAAAATACCAGATAGTCGTTGAAAAATTATCAAAATAAAATAAAATAATTAAATGGACGTGTTTTGTTCTTCAGCTAAACTCAATTCATTGCCAACCTGTTTTATTGCAGATACAACTTTTAACAATTGTTTTTTCGTGTTTCAATGCCAATGTTTCTCTTTTGTTTTGGTTCAGGATTTGTTTTTAATTAGATTATTTTGGATGCCAAAATGTAGCTGTTACTGTTACTGGCTCCATAAGGAAATAGCTTCTTTTCTTTTTTATTGATATCACAAATGGTCTATTAAGTGGACCTACAGGGCCCAAAGTACACTGAGACCATAAAGTAGCCTACATTTTAATTATATTGAATATAATTACAAAATATAGTTTAGAAAAGAATATGACATAAGAGAAGTAAATAATAAAAATTATTTTAAAAAAAAGGACTTGCAGATCAGATTCATAGTTTTACTGTCAAATTTACTTCTTGACTTTCTTTAAATATCAATTAAAAAAAGGTTTTAATCTCTACAGGTTATTTATTTAATCATAGAAACCAACCAACTTAAGTTCTTCAACCTTTAATAGCAGATCCGATCAAATATCACATCCAAACATTTACAAATGTTTTTACCTAAAATACTGTGCTGGCTTGTTGGTAAAAAAAAATTCTCCAAAGAATGTGCAAAAACCAGTTCTTTTGCTGCATTTACCATTTATTGGTCACTTTTCTCAGCATTTTCAGATGCAATAAACTTATAGAATCAATAATTTACACATTTAAGGAGGTGATACCTTAGCCTCTTAGCCTCTGTAAAGTGGATCTAGGCTTCTTGTGTGAAATACAGAAGAACATGAAGTGAGACAATAATATGATCTATCAACCAGGGGACGCTGTTTATTTGTTTTCAGGGCTTTGCCTACATTAAAGCAGTCTAAACAGCTTTGTCTTGAAAAGCTTTTACATTAGGAAAAGCCTAAAGAAAATACACAAATGTAATGGAATAACGCCCGTAGTGGCTGTTTAGCAACCGTGCATACATTTTACCGGCACTTTTTAAAAGAGGTAGCCTAGTAACAGTACACAGTTTATTGTAATTTCTTTGGTCGTTTTGCCCATTTTAAGTGTTTTTGTTCCCAGCAGTAACGACGAGGAGAGATTTACACAGGTGAATAAATTTACTTTTATAGTTTGGGCTATAAAGACACTTCCGTAATCTAAACAAACAATCTACTCAGTTCAATAGTTACGTTGGCATAGTAACACGACAGCGCTGGGCTACGTTGGCATAGTAACACGACAGCGCTGGGCTCTGTCCGTGGTGCTGATTCAATTCATTTCAATCCATAAAGGTAACACTGACAATATCGCCTAAGCATCATTTAAGGGTTGGCAACACTAAGCTGCAGTCATATTTACGAAACGGGCGTGAAATCAGATGAAAGATAACACACAGGTTTCTCAGACTTACCAGTTCATTTTGCTCAAACCTACCGCCATTGTTATTTTTCAAAAATGTCACGTTCTATTTTTCTATGACGTAACTGGGCTTTGATGCTTCCAGGCATTCCTTCATCACAAAGCACCAACGCGATTTTCTCTCAATTCCTCTTAAGAGCAGAGCAGAACAGTTACAATTCACAACCATTTTTAATTGACTTAATTGTCTTTTGAACTTCTGCTATTTGTCGACATGTCTTTGCTTCCACGGATGCAAACAACTATTATTGGTCGCCTTGTCCAACCTCGTTGGGAAAATGTTTCCTGCAGTACACCTGACTTATCCAAACCAGCAGCGTCTGCACCCATTACTCAACGAAGTTCAACATCTTGGCCCATGGCAGTGCCAAAGAGCCCTATAATACCACGCCGATCAAAGATGGACCTGAACAAAGAAAGTATTCGTAGCCGCAGAAACTGGGAACGTTATTTTTCCACTTCTACTACGTCTAACTTATCAGAAACCTCTGTACCCCATGAATTTCCCAGTAGGCCTAATCAAGTACAAGCCAAATCAAGGAAAGACATGGCAGGTGAAAGGAACGAGGCTCTCAGATTGCTGGATCAGGATACTACCCCCAATACATCTCCCTACTTGTCTATAGCTCCGCGCCCATTTATTGCCTTAAATGAGCCAGTCAGGGAAATTTTGGAAACTGCTGACCCAGACAAACCAAAGTCTGCTCTTCGGCTTTACGGCTTTGCTTGCGAAAAAATCTCATCCTTTTCCAACATGGCCCGATACGGAGTCAAAGCAAGAATTTTAGACTTGTGTTCATTGATCAGGGATGGAATTGAAGATAGTTTCTCCAGGACAAGCTTGGCAAATAGTTGTTCCCTGAGCAGAGAAGAGATTCAACATGCCATTGACAGTGCTATTAAGAAAGATCCAACAATGGGTCTGCTTTTTATTTTAGCTATTGGGGTTTACAGCTCTTCTTGTAATCTCTCCAGAAATGTTGCAGCAGTCATTTCCTGGATCAAAGAAGCCTTTAGGAACATGTCTACAAGGATCTACTACCCAGATGAGCACCAACGTCTGTTTTTTATTTTGGGTAGATGTGTCTACAGAGGTAATGATTTTCTCTGTGACAAAATTCCATCTGCTTTTTCATGGACCCTGAGGAAGGGATCATCAGTTGTAACCTTTGTCAGAGAAAGAATTGCCGGCCGTTTTTTTGTTAAAGACGTAGAAGAGGCAGTAGAAGACAACAAACAAGACTGGGACCTAATAGAGGAATATGTGTTTCGAGAACCAGAAAGTTTCTGGGTTGTAGAAGCGTCTCGGTCTTTTGCCAAGTATGTTCGAGCTGCTTTTTCCAGGCCTTACAGGAAAGTGGCCTCTGTGTACTCCAGGATCAGAGCAAGAATGGGACTTGATTTATCCCACACAAAGCAAAAAGCTTTGGCTTTTTAGGAATGGGTCGCAAATCGACTTGTTGCATCGGCAGGTCTTTAGTAGTTATTTCTGGGTTTAGGGTTTACTCCGGGTGCTCCGGTTCTCCCACATTATTAATTTGGCAATTAAAATATAATATAATACAATTTGTGAAAATAAAAAACAATTATTGAAAATCATGAAAAATATGAATTATTTGCATGTTTTCTTTTAAGTTGCAGTAATTAGTTTAACTCCAAACTATAACTATTTTTATTTTTCAGAGTTAGTTATTGGCAACCACCCATAAGCATTCAGCAAAAGGTTTGCTAGAGCAGGATTTCTTCCATTTTTGAGTTGTTTAATGGTTTGTTTCAACCAAACCTTATGACAAACTTAATCTTTCTCGTTGGTAAATTGTTGGTAAGCATTCCTTGCAGAAAATGTTCCCCCTTTGTCTCTCTCCAGCGAGCTGCAGTGTGATCCCTTGCACCAACTGTTTCTTGCTGTCCTTTGGCAACAACGAGTCGACCATGATTTCTCTGCTCCTCATGTTTGGGTGAAACTGCTTTGTAACGCCCTGGATGTGATGATGGTGGAGCTTTACCGCTCTTCGGAGGTAGGAAATTAAGACATGCCATGAAGTGTCTTTGACATTTTGAGGATTTGAGCAGTGGAGGTGAATTAGATTTAAAGGACTTGCCCATCAATGATTTGCTTGGCTTACAGAGATGGATGACATTGTAACATGAGAAATGTACTGTAATCAAAAAATGAACCAACGCAAGAACATGTTTCTTTTGTGCTGGGCCTATAATCATGGTGAAAAGCAACATTTGAGGTGTCAATTTATATTGCTCCATCCTGTGGCTGAAAAGAGTCCTTACAGCTTTTTACATTGTTACAAGCAGATATTTAAGTCAGCAATAAGTGTGTGTTGTTATTACTTTAATATACCAGATGTGCTGGTGTGGCATGAAGACCAGATCAGTTTTACACCTCCACACCAACAGTTCTCTAATCAGACACAATATTATCACAGTCC